GCAAACGTTGCTCAAGCCCTCTTCCGGGTCGATTTTATGAATTTTTTGAACTCTCTTTGGCTTCGGCTTCCATTATGATCGAGTTCGTGTCTGTTTTTTTAGACCCCGTAGTATTTCGTTCTTTTTTAACTGCGGCTGAAACACGAGGATACAACAGCGGCGCACCCGTAACCGGAAATCCCCGCGCCACATATCTCTAGGTTCCGCATGGTTGTCTACTCGAATTTCATCCAACCGTAAAAAAGCCAAGCTCTCATCTGGTAGCCTGATAGCGGTCGGTCTCTATGCTTCATACACGACTCGGATCCACCAACGAGCTTCCAGTGTCTCAGGTTGAAACGGTCGGCCGCCGTTAATTCTCCCTCGTTGTCCAATGTCGTATGTCCGTGGATCAAAACATCGTGCAACCGAGTGGAATTTGCCGGCTTCTCTTCGTCCGATGTCCGTCCTTGCAACATCTTCCGTGGAGTCTTGGTGAACGCGGCATCAGTCGTCAGAAAAATCGATCGAACAGTTGTGAGTCCCTTCCACTCCAAATGCTTTTAAAGTTTACCTCTAACGTCTGCGACTTCGCATGGCTGCAGACCGATTTTATTACGTGCCTCTAATTCACTTATGGGCGATTTGTGATGAATGATCTGGATCAACGGCTGTGACATTGTTGAGATGTCGACGGACAGGTTCGCGAGAAAAACAGAGAATCCAACCAACCCTCGGACTTGATCGGAATCTTTGGTGTTCCTGTCTGCCAGACGGCAACTCTAATCCCTGTTCTCGGAGACCGTCCACCGGCTGAAATCATGTGAAACAATTGAAGGCCCGCCTCGAGGTCGCCGCGGATCATATTACCACAAATGCCTGTAAGCACTTAATGGACGACGTGCATCTGCGACAGAGCGACGCACCTCTTCTGCTTCTTATGGCTATTTTGGTAGTCACCTGGGGCACGCCGCGTATCCGGGGCTCGGCTCGGCAGATACCTGGGAATAATATATCCCTCATCAAATTTCCTTCGCTCCTTAATCCTTCCCCATGTCCTCCACCACCCACTCGATGGCGACAGACCAAGAAAAACAAGACCGTCTACGGCGAGACGACGGAGTCGTCGCCACGGGAATCAAGTCTGCGATCATCTTTCCAGAAGGCGGCGCGGCGGGCTGGTTGACCGTTCTCGGATCGTTGAGTGAATTCGTCTTTGCGCCGGCCTCGAACATACGAACCGTCGGATAGCGCGCTTATTCTCTTCTCGACATTTGGTGTCAGGTGAACCCCTTCCTCCCTGGGAGTCTGCTCTTCGTTGAATATCGTCGTGTGTCGCCTCTTCGTTCCCAGTCTTTCGTTCGGGGTTCTGGAAGACCACTACACAGTCAGCGAACTCTCTCCATGCTGGATCATCCGTTCCTCAGTCTACATGTTCAGCGAATTTTTCTCAACCAAAGTTCGGCCTCGACGGTCAGTTGGATCGGAAGTATGCAACTATTTCTAGGTACAGTAGAATTTTACCGCCCCTTCAACGGAATGCGCTAAGACTTTTTAGACTTCAGGTAAATTCCACGCCTCGCCCTGAAACCATGCTCAACGGACCCAAGCATCGGCCTTCCAGCTGGTAGGATTTGCATGGCTTCCCGCGCGCACGCTTATCTTTGACGGTTTCCAGGAAAGTTGTTTGACGATGGGCACTTTCGCCTGCTGATGATCAGTGGCACCGCTATATATCTCTTTTCGTAAGCATGCACACCGGCAGGTCTAGTGCCCTAACCAAGATTGCAACACAGGTTCTTCATGCTGTCGATTTGCGAACCGAACCATTTCTATCAAGTATTTCTTTCGCAAGGAGTCGGCATGGGAATTGGAATGGGTTTGGTCAGTCATAATTGTAATTTGATTCCTTTCGCCAGTCGACTCATCGTCTTGAGCAGCTTTTCGTCCCCGCAGTCTCTCTACCGTCGCATTATTTCCGCGCAAAACGATCCCTTGTCATGGGAATGGTGTTCTCTGGTCGGACGGTTCAACTACCTTGATTTTATTTATTTTCTGACAGCTTCATAGGCTCTTCTATGGGCGGTGTTGTATTCCCAATCATCTTAAACCACCTCATCAACGGGCCAGTCGGCTTTGCATGGGGCATCAGGTATTTCGTCCCTGATTTAACCCAACCATTCAATTTCCAACTCCCGATAGAATCGTGGCCTTCATGACAGCGATACTCCTTTTCATCGGCAATCTCCTCACCAGACCGCGCCTGCCGACGAAGAAAGAGCGGGCCCCAGAGGACAACGCCGTGCTGAAACTGATTCTGAAGGATTTTCCTTATTGGCTGAGTGTGTGGGGGTACGCCGTCGAAGATGCCCCACCCACTGCTCCCGCTAACGGGGTTCCCACAGCTCGTGCCTCGTTATATGGGGAATATTCTTCCCCTGTACGCACGCGCCGCGCTCCGTATCCGCCATTGGCGCCTCACATCCCTTCCTTTCTTTACAGATTTCTATCTCCAGCTATACGCAGTTTTGCATGGGATCGATAAGAATGTGGCGTTCTACACCGTGCGTCATTCGCAGGCGCAGTTTCCATTTTTTTGTGTCCTTGATGCGCGGCGTGGATTTCCAGATCACCGTTCTAAACGCGGCCACGATTTTGGGGCGCACTGTCCCAAATTTCCTGGCGGATAAATACGATGCCCTTAATGGTTAGCCGATCCTTCCCCGCGCGCCCTTATTTACCAAGTTCCCCTAGTCGCCATACCGATGACTACGGTTTCCGGAAGTCTCGTGTTTGCTATGGTAAATCTCCAGAGTGCGGGGAGCATGTTTGCCTTTGCCGCATTTTATGGAGGTGAGATAATCTCGTCGCCGGTCGTTTTGCCAAGCTTACCATAGAAATTCCAGTCTTCTCCGGAGCTTGTGAATCCGTTTTCTCAATGCTTCGCCCATGTTGTCCTAATTCCCGACAGTCATGTCTCTCCTCGCCGCCGTAATGTCCTCGTTTGCGTTTTCGGTCAACGAGATTGGGTTCGTTGCCTTTCCTCTTGGAAACTCTCTGTGACGCAGCGTTCTCGCAGATCCCGGATTGGAATAGCCATGTTCCTTCTATCTCTACCCTTACTCACAGGTGCGCCTATAACCGGCGCATTCCTCCACCCACCGGAATACACATGGTGGCGAGGGGTAGTATTTTCTGGAGTAAGCAGTGCATTTCCGAGAACCCCATGTGTCTGACCCCGACTAGGTGGTACAACTGAGCGGGGTTTTATTAATCGCCATTTCACGATCCATGGTGGTTCGGAGGAAAGGAACATGGCGAGTATGAATTTTCAACTTTGAACATCTTGGACATCCCCTTGCACGCTATAGAAATATCATCGCACGCAGTTCTTTATTTTTTGGGACCTATTAATTGCAATCTGTACATTCGCTTGCTACTTAAATACAAGTTCGAACCATTTTTCGTTTTTCGACCCGGGTTCAACTTTTGTTGTTGTGACATATTTCATTGTGGCGCTGTAGCCAAATGGTGACAATCTGATACGCCTTGTTTTCAACCACCACACGAACGCGCTTGTAATGTCCATACCCGCGGATCCAGAGGCTTTAGTTGCACCTCTAGAGCTTTATGCATCGTATCCGTTCACCTTCGACGACGATTATCAGGTACGGCTCTCCCTTTCCGTGGGAAAGTCCAAGCGATCACGACTCTCACCGGCGCCATTGTAAGAACGGACTGGCAACCATCATCGCCGGTGGGGCCCTGGACAATGACCCGCCAGAGGAAATCAGGGACGAAATCCTCCGGCGAACCCGCGTATTCTACTTCAATCGGTGAGATCTCCGCTGCACGCATCCGGACTCCGAATTCATCGCGGCAGCGTGACCGGCAACGCCATCACCATGGACGAGGCGCGCGAGTACGAGCTTTCGCACAAGACGGACGGCGCACGGCCAGATACTACCTCTCCGGCGGCGACGGCGGAACCCATTTCTCCGGACGACGCGGAGCCTGTCGTGCTCTCCTTCGCACAGCTGCAAGCACTCATCGAGGCGGGCAAGGAGGATCAGATCCCGAACAATAAGGTTATTCCTGACGATCTGAATGTACGGGTCCAATCTCGGAGGCTTCGCCCATCGCTCATAATATTTATGCACAGGACGCTGCACCCAGCGCGTCTGCTGCACCCGTACGAAGAAAACCTTGGGAAGTAGATTCAGACACAAATCAAGCCACTTGAAGTCGATCCAGACCAGAATAAAGTGTACCATTCATTCGTGCTCCGCGCTCCACACCTGTCTCTTCTATGTAGGACCGTCGACCCTGACTCATAAAAATCTCCGGACCTCCGAGGTAGATTTCACAATATGGCACGGTGATGTTTGCAGGTCCGCCGCCGTCGCCGAAGAAGAAATAGTATCACGCGTAAGTTGGTGGACATGGTTTCTCATTCTATTTTCTCCGCGGGCACCACTGTCCGCGCGCCCGAGCTGTTCTTGACAGACCCACAAATCCTTCTCTCCGCGGCTGGAATTCGCAGACCGAGACTGGTGACGTGTGAATGTTTCAAACCTTCAGTCCCGGCCAACATACGACACCCGATCTGATCGTCAAACATTAAATTCACCGTTGTGGGTCCACAGACCGGACTGAAAACGGTTGAGAACTTTCAAAGGAGAAACGACGGTTCTTTAACCGTGTTCAGTGTGTTGGTCGGGGACTCTGCAACGGTCTGTTATGGTGGGAAGTATTTAAAGAGCTGGCTTGCGTGGCTAGAACAGAACGCAGATGTTCCAAAACGCGGGATGGGAGTAGTCGTAAGTTGAACGAACAGGTTGTGTTCTGACAGAGATTGAACCCAACGCACGTAGCAAGGGCTTGTTTTTCCTGCTTACCGTTCCGTTCAATCTACAGAAAGAGAGAGTAGGCGTAGCGCTGAATAAAGAAAGTGTGAAAATCCGCGAGCGGTTGGACGAAACCCGATTTGAACAAACAAGGAAAGAAAAATGAAGGTGATATGGCCTGGCCCGGAATCGAACAGGGTACTTCCTTTAGAAGTGGTATAAATCGACGTTAAGTTCAAAGGTTGTGTTACCACTACACCACCAAGCCTTACCCACCTTGGAGATGAGGTTGAAGTGAAGTTGAACCAAATTAACGAAAAATGCTCGTACCCGGAAGATGGCCTGGCCCCTAAATTTGGGGAGATGTGTTACTGCTACACTACTAAGTCACTGTTAGATACCCACATAAGCACTAGGAACATAAATGGAGGTCATAGTGAACAAACACATAATCAATTGACAACTTGAATCAAATCAGAATACTTGAGTTGACCTACACACAGTATACCCTGAGTGAGTCGGGAAATTATGAGTTTGGATGGCTGTTTCAACAAACCGAGGTACGAGGTCAAATATAAATATTGCTGTCTAGGAGGGACTAGCTGATGGCATCCGATTCGGGAAACCCTACGCCGACTAGCTCGTTTGGGAAATTCTCAGTCTGTTCCTTTTCAATGCTCTGCCGGTGTTCTGCCTTTGTTAGACATACCTGCAACTCTGCTACACGCTAGACGATGGGAGCTTTCCAAAGGAATTGATGTGGAAACCCGAGGGTACAGACAGGCACTGTCCGCGGTCGTTGCATTCGTTGGTCAGCACCACAGCTTGGGTACTAACGCCAAACTTGTGTGTCATTGCTCTCCTGCGACGAGACCGACTTTTCAATTTCTGGGTGGATACCGAGCGAGCCACTACACAGATAGTCACGTTCACCGCCGCGCAAAACGATCCCGTGCCTTCTGACCCCGCCGCAGATCTTCCTCTTTTAGCTTCCCATTCAGGGCATCCGATAGCCTCTGCGCATATTTTTCACCGTCCTATCACGCACGAATCAACACCTGATGAACTGAAATGAAAGCACTTACAGCTACGAACTCGCGTATTTGACCCGACTCCAACTCACCCGACCCAAGAATGCGCATCGCCTGCAGGCTCGGAGACGCAGCCGTTGGGAAGGAGAACACAAGGAGTAGCCGGAGCGGCGTCGCGGCCTCTTCCTGTAGGATCGCGTCGAGGTAGTGCACCTTGGACGACGCGACGTTGAGCGTCACGCACACCGGCCACTTGTCGCGCCCGCCCAGCACCTCGCCCTCGTCCCAATAGTCTGGCAGCTCAAAGTCCACGGCGCGCGAGATGGAGCGCGTGTCGAACCCGCTTTGCTGCTCGCCCGGGTCGCGGTCCACGTCCATCTCGCCGCTCTCGGACACCTTCGCGCCTGGCGCAACCGCGGCCTTGTACTCCACACCACGCGTTCGCGGGACTTTGCAGTCCCACAGTGCCGCCCGCGCGGCCATGAAGAGCGCGTCGTACGTGTTTCCCGCGTCTGCGAGAACAACGCAGTCGAGATTCAGCAGCCACGATTTTTTGCCCGCCAATATTCCAAGATTGGCGGGGTGCAGCGACGGATGTGCGAGTGTTTGGTGCAGAAGCGTCGACATGTCGTGCTGGAGGTCATCAAGTGCCGGCGCAGAAAGATGGGGGTAAGCAGACGGGGAACTAGCTTGTTTTGAGTCAGTTCAGTTTGTCGCATGGCGATAAGAAAGATGTACGCACCAAGAAACGGTGCAAACGATCCGCCCGCCATCTACACCCTCCCCTTGCCCATCTACGCTCTCAACCTCGAGTTTTGCTGCAGCGAGAACCTCCGTTCCGCCTCCGCCGTCGTGTGGATTCTGCCCAATGTTCAGGTGTGCGGAGCCATTTGCTAGCGGCGCTACGCCGGTTTCAAGGCTTATGGTGCGAAAATCATGCAGAGCGCGTCCGTCAGCGCGCAATGGGGGATTTGAGAGGAGGCCAGATTGTATGTATGAAATCTCTGCCTTGGATGTCGATACTGAAGCCATAGCGAAAAAAGGATGGGATAATTAGGATGGAAAAGCGCGATGGCTGTGCAGCTGACCCGTGGGAATCAAAAGCCCATCCGACTTCAACTTCAAGTTCATATTTGCCCAACTCATCGTATACTCACTAGCAGGTATAATGTGTGTACCTTCAACTCAAGTACTGGATGGTTCCGATTTGATTTCCAATTGATTACATTTGTTCACTATGACCTCGATTAGCGACCTTTGCGGCTGCCGGTGGAAAGAACAGCTTCATCGTCAGGATTCATCGGGGACGCCGCTATTTGCGGCTGTAGATAGCCTTGACTCTTGGCCGATGCGTCGACGGGCCACGGCGGATTGGTGGTACCTCGTGAGGAAGCGGCCTCTTCTCGGAGTGTCCTCATCTGGCCCATCCCTCGCTCGAGCTTCGTAAGCCTTCTAATTTCCCGCTGTGTTTCTTTGCGTTCTCTATTTTTTCAAGATTTTTCCTGGATTTTTTTCGCTATTTTCTCAGTCCAAGTCAAACCGGGTAATCGCTCTCGGGCGGGACGGGGAAACATCCTCAAGGACTCTGGATTTTTCTGAAGAGCGCCGCGCCTGTGTCCCCGCCTACTATCGCCGTAAGCGCAGAAATCGTGGCGTTAGGCTGGTTGCCCCGTCTATGTTCTGAACTCCCACTGACCCTGGACCTCCGGGAAATTTAACATGAGGGGACGGCTGTATCATTAGAGGCAAGTGGCATATGCCTTGTGAGGTTGGATCCCAATGCGGACGGAATTGGGCCAAAAAATGGCCAAATGTCTCATCCGTGTGCGGACGGAAATCACGGAAAAAAAGGTCTACTGTATGTCTCATCCACAACGCTGACGGAAAGTGCCTTTGGAGGCCGAGGTCGGATCTTTGGCGTACGGAAGTACTCGGATTTCATCAATCCCCTCAGATTCCCCTGGGCCAACAGACATGCAGGAAAAAAATCCCCAGCAACTGGCCAAATGAACCCACACAAAGACCCTTCTCGTGCCAAAATGTCTGATCCGGTATGCGGACGGACGCACTCCAAAAACAGAGGTTCTGATCCTGGGGCGGACGGAATTGGTGCAAAAAGACATGTACGGAAACGGCCAAATCCGGGATTTTAGGATCCAACCTCTTTTGGGATTTGCCACTTGCCTATCATTAGTTGATCTTAGGGACCGCCGATCACACCCGAGATAAAATCGAAGGATCTCCTTCTCTCACTGCCCGTCATAGGTCCATCTTGTATTCCCCCCGGTCTTGTCTTCTCTGATCATTTATTACTCGCTAGCGAGCTAAGTTTCCGACAAACTGACTGCTACCCTCTCCCAGACCTCTAAAACGCCTGTGTCTGTGGACACCTCTCCGAAGTCAAAACCGTCACGGTCGAAAATTCTTCGTTACTTCAAGAGATTAAGGTACGCTTTGTGTGATTATTGAAGTGTTGTTTTCCTAACGTCGAGTCCTAGCTTCTGCGAAGAGTGGTCGCAGGCTTGCAGGCCGAGAACGCCGACCTGAAAAGCATTCTCGATGCCCGCCAGGAACGTGAGCTTTCGCCTCCGCGGGATGGCATTGGCCGGGAACTCACCATACGGTGGCAGGTGTGCGACAGCTTACAAAAAAGTGTTTCGTGTCGCGTAGACCTTGTGAAATAACTCATCGCTGAATTATTACAGCGCTTCACGAATGGATTGTCGCCGAAAGGCATATGGATTCGCAACGCTTGGTATCACTACCGGCACGTTCTCGCGATTAGGGGAAGTCAGAGTACTCGATTCTGGATCGATTCTGGCTCGATTCGGACGTCGATTCTGATTCGATTCTGAGTCGAGAATCGATCCAGAATCGACCGCAAACTTTGACCGCCCCGATTCTCCTTTCGATTCCCTGTCGATTCTCCCGGTGCCTATGCTCACTTAATTATTCTCTGGCGGCACTTATATCAGATTATACGCCCCCTCGAGCTCTCACTGTGCACGCCCGCCCTCATGCCTCGCCTGTCATCGCGCCAGATGAGGACACAACATATCCTTCAGGCCTATTTGAGTTTCCATTCTACACGACTCAGGACCAGGGAGCAGCAGAGTAGGATGTGGTACGCAGGAATGAGGAGATAAAATACTACGAAGAATGAATACTTATGTAATAATATATGAATCAAGGGGCATAAACAAAGTCGATTCTCAAGTCGATTCTGAAGTCGATTCTGAGGTGTTCCGACTCCAGAGTCGGAACATCGATTCTGTGGAATCGATTCTTGGATCGATTCTGGGTTCGATTCTTGATCAGAATCGACTTCCGAATCGAGCCCAGAATCGATCCGGAATCGAGTACTCTGACTTCCCCTATTAACCAGTCGAAACCAACTAATATGCACAATTGTAGGAGATGAATATCGCGGGGCATTGGCGGACCCGCTACGCACCGGGGACGTCGAGAGGACCGCCGCGTCGTGCTCCGAAGGGTTGGTGGAGAATGCTAGCGGAATGCCGACGAGGAAGAGGGTCCTCGAGATGGTCCTCCGTACTGATGCGACCCGTATGGCCACATGGGGGTACTCCGCTCTCAGATCTCCGATCGAGGACCTGCTGCGCGTGACGAGAAAGCCTGGGATTATCGACGACCAGGGGGGTCATGGAGCGGTTGGGAAAGAGTTGGGGAGATGGGCGGTTCCACGGCGTGTCTCTGTAGTAGTGGAAATGAATATATTTGTCCCCATTCAATTTCGTAGGAGTAGATTTTGGGCCGCGTATCGCAGATGCCGCTCGATTTGCGGGCTTCGGCTTTTTACTCTTGCCTTTAAGTTTCGGGATGGGAACATTGAACCGAGAGCATCGTCCCACCCGTCTACCTTTCGCCTAAGAAAGCAGAGAGGTGGATCTTGTTCATGTATTTTTACGAGAAGAGCATGTCAACGCGCCTCCCGAGTCGGGCATGCATTTAGGCCCCGTGAAGCTCCCGCAAAGGATTGTCCCCAAAATTAGCTTTTTTAGAGCGAAAATTTGCGCTTTCCTTGTCCAAATATTAGCTTTTTCGGCCCAAAATTTGAGAACCCCTGTCCGGCCATTAGCTTTTTTAGGCGTGGAATGAGATGAAACTCATCAGACCAGGTGGCTTTTGGTGTCAGATGATTGTACTGGGAAGAGGTCGGAAGCCATCTCCGAGGATTGGGATGAGTGCGAGGACCAACTAACGCGATGAAGCGAAA